TAAACGAATATACATGAAATGTAACTAAACTCCTCTGCCAAAACCTTTATTATAGTTTTTTTTTCTTATCTCTAAGAGAGGAAACCATGTTTTTACAAACATTGTAACAATTTCAAATCACAGTTAAGTTGTGCATAAACGTAACATAACTGACATGGTATCTATTTGTATTAGTGGCAAGGTAAATATTATAAAGAGGAAAATTTGGATTTTGAGATTTGTGTATGTATTGAAGTAACTCAAAAACTACAGGGCCGATTTTAAAAATTCTTGCACTAATAAAAAGCTATGTTATCAGTGAAGTAAATAGGGTTATTACTATTTTTAAATTTCCACGCAGACGAAGTCGCGTGCAACAGTTTGTAAACAATATTATAATATAATATTACAGTTTTTTTAACGAGTGTACAACAGATCACCATCGGAAAAATAGTGAAAGCGAATGCTTTTTCTAAATCGAAAACCTCAAATGTATGAGATTTAGGTATTTTTAGTCGAATGCCCTTTTATTGAATAGAAAGTGAAAGCTAAGTTATTATAATGGACAAAAGTTAAATTTATAAAAATATGGCAATTCGTCTTTGGCAATAGATCAAAGATTTTAATGGTGTTTTTTTAAAATGTGAAATAATAAATGTAAAACGTAACCGAAAACTTTTCATGCAATTTAGATAGAATTTAAAACTCTTCCTTTCCTTTTGTAAATAAACATAACATTGATACCATTCCGTCTATAATAATATGACGATTCAAATTCATGTACGAGTAAATGTCATTCTAAAACCGATAATAGTAGGGAAATTAAAAAATAGATAAATGTTTACATTACTTTTATAAAAATTTGTAAAGATTTCTGCAAACCTAAAAGTTTGCTGACATTTCGATGTAGGAAAATTTAGCTTTATAATTTTGTTGTAATTTTACAGGAATTTCGAAATTAAAAATTCCGTAGACTGAATTTGGTAAGATTACATTTTTCGTTCTGAAAACAATTGTCGGTGTTTTATTTTGATTGAGTTCGAAGTTTTACCAACACACATATAAATAAAGAAAGATTTTTCTAAGATAAAAAAAGATGTTTCTATTTATACAGAAGCAGTCATTTGTTTTTGATACATCAATGTTTTGTTGATTGAAGTGTTAAGTTTTTTTGTTTCAAACATAAACATGACTTTGTGTATTCTAAACGTATCTTTCATTTCCTTTGATTTATATTTGAAGTAATTTATAATTTTAACGAGTTTACTTTACCAAATGGTAGATTTTTACCGATCAAAGTGAAGTAAATAAAGATTTATTTGAAAACAGACTTGATTCAAAATGTTCTTGTATTCTAATACCATTCAATTAAAAAAAAACTGTAAAAGACTTATTTCTTAAGTGCATGAGACACTAATGGACCACAATCAGCATACATTTTATAAGTATACTAGCTTTCGCCCGCGACTCCGTCCGCGTGGAATTTAAAAAAACAGAAGTAAGTACCCTATATGTTCTTCCAGATTTTCCTCTACATCTATACCAAATTTCATCGCAATCCCTTCAGCCGTTTAGGCTACAAACTCTAACAAACATCCATCCATCTATCTAAACTTTCGCATTTATGATATTAGTATGATTGAAAAACCACTCATTTTTCTTTGTTCATTATTTTTATCAAAGCTCATATAATGGATGATGGGTTACATCATTTTGTAGTCACCGGGTTAAATCTCTATTTATAAACATGTTCCCGAATAAGCACGTTGGGTAAAATTAGCAAGTAAGTGAACTGTGAATTGGACGCATGAACGCGTCCCCGGCCTTTTCATCTCCGAGCCCGTCCAAATGAGACGTGAATTATGGAAACATAATTTAAATCACCTTGAACTATCATCGATATTGACAAACAATAATTAAAAAAGATAGACAGATCACATTCCTAAAACAAATCGAATGAAATACGAAATCGATCACGACTCAACTTTTCTAAAGCAGGATTAAATGCTTCAAAAAGAGTCTCATATTGGTTACTAAAGCAGCCCTTATTGCAGTGGATTATACTAAACTTAACATTAAAACGCCTTTAAACTTTTTATCTATAGTATTATAATAAAGGGTAAACACACACTTCTTTGTTGCCTAAGATGTCAGCAATTACAGCATATTTTTTAAATAATTATTTTTTTTAATAAAAAGCCCTACACTTACGTCACGCTTTAGGCTATGTATTTCACGCCATTAAAACCCTAATGTGAGAGAGACTATAATTTGCTGCCAACATCAAGGAAGCAAGGTTGCCATGGTTTGTCATGATGTCATGTCAATTTGACATTTGCAATTGATAATTTGACACATATAAACAACAAAATAAAATATTCATAATTTTATGCGGATGAAGTCGCACGGGAACAGCTAGTACAATAATAAAAGTCTATTATCAACAACTGTAGAATTTAAATCGTATTCCGATTCTTTTAATCACTTTTTAATTCAGTAGCAGATGATGCAAGCAATATAATGTAGTTACATTTTAATATTTTCTCCGATCGCCCACAACTCGACCTACATGCAACCCACCCTCTTTGCCACCCTCGGACCGGAGGTACGCGTCGGAACGTACCGCGACAGCCGCCCCAGTTATACCTTGACAAGTACAGCAACTGTTTACGTCACTTACTGTACGCTGTTTGAGTGGGGTAAGGTTTTGTGACGTCACTACCATTGTTCTATAAACTTAAATGATTGTTAACTGTTCATGTGATGGATGGATATTTGTGTCTGCATATTTCTAGAATGGTCCAACAGATCTCGTTGAAATTTGGCATAGATGTAGATCCCATTCTAGAAGAAAATATACTAATCAAGGTTTTTTTAATCCGGCATGTTACTTAACTGAAAGCAAAAGTATAGAAAATCGTAATTTAAAAAATACTTATTCATCTTGTTTTAAAGTTATTAAATTTGATCATGACAGTTCTCATCGTAAAAGTAAAAGGCTATCAAGTTAAAATTCTATTAATCTACGTACTTTAAAAGTACTAACAATTTAATTTGTCTTCAGTCATCATCTTTCTCCTTATCTTACTCCCGTAGGGTCGGCGCGTCAGGTTTTTGCCCTCCACATAACTCTATCATACGTCACCTCAGACATCACTCCCTTTTAGATCATGTCACCTTTCACGCAATCCATCAATCTCTTTCTAGGTCTACCTCTATCGGTGTACCCTTCCTCACTCATAACTATCTTTCTCTTTGTAACATGTGATTCATCTCCCTCATAACATGCCCATACTATGCTAACCTTTTACTTCTTACCTTCTCTAGCACTGTTACTCTCAAACTTTCTCTAATATACTCATTAATTTGTCGTCAATGTTAATAGGTAAAGTAAATTAGGAATTGGGTACTATACAACTAAAGTGTTCCTCACATATGTGTTATTGGATTATTCCGGTGTAACGTTACCCTCTTAACAGACGTTCGACTAACGTTCAAACATCGTAACGTTGTTATCCTTCGTAAATACGGCTTTAGTAATGTACTCGGCGTTTACACGTTCAACTTAATAGGTGAAATAATTTAACTCGTAATTACTGTCAAATGGAAATTAATGATAGAGTTATTCCAAATTTATTTAAAAAGAAGTAATCTAATCTATGACTAATTGTTGCCCGTGAAGTCGTCTACGCAATACTAAGATAAAAAGTAGCCTATAATATGTCTGTCTATGTCAGCTACCCTTTAGTGAAAGTCTGGTCGAAATCGATCCAGCCGTTTCGGAGATTACCCGAAACAAACGCGGCTTGCGGACAGACAAACAGACAGTGAACTTTTAGATTCGATTTTCGTTGTCAGCAACGCAAATACAACATCTTCCCTAAATCTGGAATTTTTCTTTTGATATTACTAACAGACACTCCAATTTTATTATATGAATAGATTAGATTTTTGGTTCTGAATTTTTAAAATACCATTTATTAATATTTATAAAATCTGAACAATGATATGGTCAATTGAAAACAAATATGCTTCGATGTTCACTTCAAGGAGAGAAGTTAACCGAAGTACATTCACCTGCTAGTCTCTTACATCAATCTCATAATTAAAGTTTAATATTCGTTTATTATTCATACAATTTATTTTTCCGTCATCATTGTCATGGTTACTTCAATAAGAACTATCATCACGACTTTAATCACTTTAGATATAATAAATTTAATGCAAGACCACGAGTCCATCGTATCCTCTCACACGCCACTGCATTAAGAGGGTTGTTAAATTTATATGGCCTTGTTTACGATGTAATGCCAGCTCTAGTAGAAGCTAGACCTCTTAGATAACAGTATCATGAACATAAGCTTAAGAGCGCTAACACGTTTGACTAAACTATCGCACAACTGTTTAGTCGTGTTTTTTTTTTTTGTGACTGAGATGTCACTGCATGCCTTCAAGAGGCATTTACAGATTCACCGGGCTTGAGGTGGCCGAGTGCAGATGGCGCTTAACCTAAACCTTTTTTATGAGTAACTAGGCTCCCTCAGGATCCTCGGCTTTACTTTGTTATTATTAGTGGATTTAGAGGCTAACTCTTAGATCGCTTCGATGGACGCTCCATGGATTGACTAGGCACAAGGGCCTATTCCTATGAGCTTATACGGAGGAGCGCACACTACTCGATTTTTAGTTGTACAACTAAACAGTTGAGTGGGCTGAGAAACAATCGACAATCGCTTAACAGTCAAAGGTGTACGCCTGATCTAAGAGTATATTTTAGTCAGCAATATCAAAGGAAACATTCTGTTTACATTCCATGTTTTACATATAGTTTGTTACCTGTTAGATAAGAAAAAATAGTTGAGTTTTTAAACACTTTATTATACACGTTTATTTTATATACACTATTTTATATATAAAATAATATTCTGAGGAAATATTCGTTTAAAAAAATACTTGTTTCACATATCTTATAATGGTTTTATATCTGAAGTTAATTAACTTTTGTATTGTCACTTTTCCAGATCTGCAGTTCCCGATCGACGTGTCCGGTGTCCAGAACGACCATCCGTTTCTCGACGCAGACTCCCTGCAGTCTCTCTTCCGGAGATTGACCGCTCTCAACAGATGCGCGAATATGAAACTGGAACACCATCATCATCAGAAACGTTCTGTAAGTATTAATGATGTACTGTGTTATCTATAGTTCAATACTAATAGTATTAAGAGGAAAGATTTGTATTTTTCTATTCGATTCACGTATAAACTACTAGGTCGATTTTAAAATTCCTTTCAACATTAGAAAGGTAATTCTATCTGATAGCAATATAGGCTCTATTTTTTATTATTTTTTTAATTTCGCGAGGACGAAAATGTCTTTTTTCACACAAAATCGTCGGTAATTGGAGAGTTAATTGAAAAAGTTTTCGTCTTGTTACGCGAAGTCTGTAAACTTCTTAGTTTGTGATTTACGGAGTCTATTCTTAGAACTGTCTGGATTTCTAATAGTTTTGTCCGGAGAAAATAAGCCCAAGTCCTTGTGCTCATTGCACTTTTTTTTTGTTAAGAGGCAAAGGAGCTGCGGTAACTCAGTTTTAGTGGCTGTTTAGCCATCTTTACAGTAAAAATATCGGGTAAATTATTAAAAATCACATTAGAACATTGGTCAGATTCGAACCTGTAGGTTACATATCAAGAGTCTAAACCCCTGAGCCACTAACGCTCATCAGTATGGAAAACAAAATGTTTAATCATAAGAGACCCCTTCGGCGTTTCTTAGTGGAATAATAAAAACTTGTACTATTCAGAATAAAGGTGCGTTACATTATTATTGGCTATTAACGAGAATGCACACACAACGATTTTTACCAACCTTATATAAGATATCTTATAATAATTTTTATTCTATGTTTTTTTTTTATAATATAAGGTGGCAAACGAGCATGCGGCCACCCGAATCCACCGAAATGGAACGCGACCGCTGCCCATAAACATCCGCAATTGCAGATGCTTTGCCTACCCTTGATTGACGGAGGTGGAGACGTACATAAAGAGAACATTTTCCTTTCCTATGCGTCTCCTCCACCGTCAAATCCACTTTTCCTTTCCATCCTTTCCTCTTAAGAAAAGAGTGGAAAGGGAAAGGGAAAGGGAAAGGGACTAAAATTAGGCCTCTGGCACGACACTCATCAGATAAAACGTGGAATTGCTTCCGATTCACGCCTGTTTTCTGTATAGTCGTGGTAATAGATCGGGCGAGCCGACCCATTCGTGCTAAGATGTTAGAGCGGGCTCTACCACTATGTGTAAATTGAAAAAGAAAATACCTATATTTACCCAAATAGCAGTATCATACCACATTTGCACCCAATTTATATGTTTAATTAATTTTATCAAAAGAAAAAAATCGTATAGTGTGAAAAGCCCTTAATGTCTTGAGACGGTAAAAATTTTATTAATAAGTCTTTTACAAACTCGCTTAATTAAGACTTATTTTGACTTGCTAAAGACCATTTACGAAGTTATAACCCTTTTATTATCTTCTTATTTTCTGGGTAGTAAAAGGTAAATAATGAGATCTAAGTTTACACAACTTAAATGCTACATAGTTTATTGTTTTATTTACATAAATGATTGTGAACTTAAGGATGTTTTGTTGATTAAGCAATCTATCCCAGTATATTAAATTTAGTAAAGCAAATTTTTAAATACGAACTAATAACTTATTTGAATTACTCTAAAAGATTAGTGGCACTTGATTGAATTTAAAACATAACATAACATAAAATCGAACATTTTGAAAAAGAGGTTAGATTTAGGGCCTATCCTACCACTATCTGATAGAGGCTCAGATAGCTAAAAAAACTAAACTAAAAATAACGTCAGATTAGGTAACAAAAACCGATATTCCCATCACACATTTTACACGTTGGATTGTTATCAGACAATTTACAATTTGGTGGGACAGGCCCTTAGAACTCTTTTTAATGTAGACATTGTTAATCCCTAAGATCTAAAACTGTTTAAAGCACGTTTTGAAGCTACTATACTCAAGTTTTAAGGCGACACACTTCGCTTCAGTTGTTAATAAACTTTAAATTTTGTTTAAAAATAAAATTACAGTTATTATTATTATTGTAACATTTATTAATTTAACAATTTCAACATCAAAGTAAAATAGCGCTGTATAACAGACATTACCATCCTTGTAAAGACACCTTATTAAAAGTAAAACTGCTATCCAGTGGCATAACCGCTGGTACAAGATCGTTTCCTCAATTCTCTGTCCATTCGATTGCAAACACACGCTAAAGCTTACAGATAACTTCTCCAGTTTTACGATTGCCCGACGAATAAACTTAACGCTTAACGACGTCCATGCCGCGTTTACTGTGTCCACTCGACTCGCCGATAAGTGAAATTAAATTGGAATACGATTTTAAGCAGGTGGAGCCTAACATGCGTTAGTACTTTTGTAAACAACTAGTTTCATACTAAAAATATTTATTATTAAAAATAGGAACCTGTTGTTATATCTTTGTTTTAAAGGGAATGAGAGAGAAAGTATTGTGTGTAAATGACGGTGAAAACTAGTGTATTCTATTATTATAAACAGGGAAAGAACCATATTTTTGTATATATTGAAATAACTTAAAGACTAGTTATCGGATTTAAAAAAATCATTCACAATTAAAAAGCTACGTTATCACTTAGTAATATAGGCTACATCTTTTTTATTTTTTTAATTTCACGAGGACGAAGTTGCAAACAACAGCTAATGTATAATATTAGGAATCGTCAGATTCCTTGTTTTTATTTCTTTATACTTGTGATGTTAAATCAATGTTAGATTGATACTAAAACAAAAACGCAAGTCAATAGCTTAAAGAAAAATCAAATGAAATCTTACTATCGTTACAAGGTATATTGTATTTTTACGTAACAATCGTTTTTAGTCGAATAATTAGTTTCTGGCAAAACTACGTTTTATAGAACTTTATCAGAGTAGTAAATGAACAACTTTCTTTTGGATAGCCTCATAAGCCTTACGCTATACTCATATAGTTTTATGTAAGCACTTCGCTTTTAATTGTACCGGTAGAATTAGGTATTGCTAACCATTTCACAGATAAATGCAACAGTTAGTGTTTGCACTAAACAAATACGCTTCTAAATTATTTTGTTTAAGATTTGCTTAAATAAAGATTTTTTGTTATAATCCATTAATATAGGTACTGCTGTATTATATTAAAGTTCCTATAGTAATATGACCGAGAAACATATCTAGAAGCATTTACTGTTTGATTTTGTAACATTATTAAATTTTCAACTATAATTACGCGAGAAAAAATATAATACGAAATACTAGCTTTCGCCCGCTACTCCGTCCGTATGGAATTAAAAATAACAAAAGTAATTACCCTATGTACTCTTATAGAAAATGCTCTACAATTCTCAAATTTCATTGCGATCCGTTCAGTCGGTTAAGCGGCGAAGTCTAACATCCATCCATCCACTTTCGCATTTATATTACTTAGAAGGTATAAATAAGAGGGCATGTAATAACACTACTTATTATTTTAGACAAGGCTTTAGAAATGCTGCGAAAAATGTATCTCGTACCCTCGTACTGTCTGTTACCTACAAGAACTATACGTAATTACTATGTTAAAATAGTCTGTGGCAACTAAGCATTAACGTCATAAATGCTCTCGGTTTTCGTTGGAAAGTAGAAAAGCAATAAAACGGCTGTTTCTTTAATTACAGCAGTAAAAGAGGGATTAATAACCGAATCAAGTTAAAGACATAACGTTCTCTTATACTAAGGAATAAAATTGGTTTAATCGTTTGTCATATGGGTCATCCGAGGCTTTACTAGTTATTTGCGTCATTGTGACTAGCTGTTGCTCGGGACGTCGTCCGCGGGAAATTAAAAAATAATAATAATACAGCCTATGTTACTTACAGATAAACTACCATTCTAACGGTGAATGAATTTTTAATATTGACATAGTCGTAGTTTTTACTTTTTTTTTTACATATAAATATCCAAAAATACAAATGTTTCCTCTTCGTAATACTATCTTTATTATCTGTGAAAAAAATAAATTGTCGTATGTTTTTTAAAATGATAATCATATCGTTTTAAAGAATGACTATTCTTGGGCTACTCAGGACACGAATGTCATAAAATGATTTTATAATTAATTTTAATTGTTTAACGCAAGTTTAGTTCAATTTGTAAATAATTCAGTTCTTTGAAGTAGCCTTACTTGTGTTTCGTCAGTTTCTATTAGAATTTCAAAAATAACAATTTTTTTAAAATCAAAATATTAGATTAAATTAGTGCTCTCTTTTGTTGATAAGAGATTTTCGACTTTATTCTATTGTCTTTATTCAAATACAAAGCTCTGTACTTTCGTAACTTTGAGTTAAATTGCTCTTAATAATGATACATAATTTAGCTCTGATCTTGTAATAACGAGGTAATATCGTCTAACCATGTTTCGTCAGAACATTAATGGTTAAACACATACATGATGTAACGATTGCCGCAGGTAGCAATAATGTTAACCAAGTGCTAAATATATAGAAAATGTTTAATGAACCAAATTCCTTTGAAAAAGGTTACTTAAAATTAGAATTTCTTTTTAACTATTTGATGTTGCCATAGTCATGTTACTACATTATTTTTAAGTAACTAAATACTTTTAAACGGTATCTAAAATTGTATGAAAAATAATAAAATACCGTTAAGATTCTACTCAAACACGACAACCAATTATGTTCACAATTTTAATTTTGATTTAATGTCTAAATCAAGTTGACTGTACTGTGTAATTCGAAGCGACGCAATCAATTACAATGAATCGAGGGCTCGATTTTGATGCATAATTCGGTCGTAACAGGTTCAATTTACTTGGTAACAATAAAGGTAGTTGCACACTAGGGCAGAACATTAAGGCAGTGCAGCTGGAATGCAGTATTGCTACTGTTTCGCACACTAACTCTCTCATTAAATGATTTAACATATAATATTAGGTACAGAGAGGACAATAAGTGCAATTTGCTTTTTTTAAGAATGATCCATATTCGTTGGCATAATAATTGGTTACAATTGTCAACCTAGACAATCGAATCTCAACCAGTAGGTAGAACGAACTTTGGGACGGCTTAGATCGTAATGTCTAATATCGTTATTTTTCCAACAGTGTTATATTTGTTCTCATCATGTTCGTTCAAACAATAGAAGTACGACACTGTTCTAGTACACTTTGACTGTTCTGCCCCTGTGTGAAACTAGCATAACTCAGAGGTCCCACGGCATGTTGACGGCTCGCAACGCCTATCTGCTTCATTTAGGTGTCGGCGACGGAGCCATTACTCAATGTAATCAGTTCACGGCAAGAGGGAAGTGAAGAACGAAGTGAAGACAAGAATATCATGTTTACATAATTTTAAACATGTTGTATTTTAAAATATTACAATACCACTGGAAAAAAAAGTTATGTCGATTTTTTCTAGTTTTTTTCTTAAACTAAAATAGAAAGAAAGTATAGACATATAATATTCGTTTAGTGTCTATATTGAGAGTTTATCAAGGTTGACAAACACAAAATTCTGCATGAAGATGTACTGACTTCATGAAGCATTTCATGTACACAAGACCATAGAATGTGTTGGAAAGTACAAATGTAAAAGCATTGTCGATATTTTTGACCGACTTCCCAAAAGAAGGAGGTACTCAATTCGTCTGTATGTTTTTTTTTTTTTTTTTTTTTTTTTTTTT